GACCTCCTTGAGCGATGCTACCGCCGAGCGAGCATCGTGGCAGGCGATGGCACTCGGCCTTGGTGCCACCCGGCGTCCTCACACTTGGGCGGTGGTCCTCCATGACTCCCTGTCTATGACTTCAATTAGGGGTTTTCCCCTCGCCACCTCGGCAAACGAGCAGTTGCTCAGGGTTTTCGTCCTCTTGGCCTGTTGGACTTACGTGGTGGTATCTTCCGCCGAGCGTTGCCGCTTGCTTGGGGCCTTGGCTGCGGCCTTGACAGCTTTGGCTGGCTGGCCTTGGGCAGACGCCAGGAACACCTTGTCATCGTTGCCCAGAATGAAGGCCGCCCGTCTCTTGTCCTGGAACCTACGCCTATCTTTCGAAGCAGGAAATCCACCTGAAATGCCGGGGTTGTCAAGGGGTCGCCGGCCCCAAGGGGTCTGCCAGCCGCAATAACGCTCTGCATGGCAGCCACCCCGGTAACCGCGGGGCCCTTGGGGCCCCCCGACGTGGATTGGCCCGATTGGCTTTTGGGACCCCTCCTCGCAGCGCTAGCTGCCTCGAGACGGTGGACCGACTTAGTCTCCTTCCCCGTCGTTTTGGGCAGTGGTTTCCGAGATGCAGCCATGCATCCCTCGGCATATGACAGTGTCACCCTGAACTGGTGTTATGAGTTTTCTTCTCTCCGCCCGATTACAATAATAATAATACAAAAAAATAAATAAGTCGCTTGTGCCATTACTTTGTGCTATGGTGTTTTGTGTTGTAGTGGTAGAAAATCATTGTCGGACCACAGCTTGCTGAAACGTTATACAACGCCCTACAACGAAAGTAATTCTTAGGAACTAATACATAATTTACAATATCCCGAACCTTTATGTAAACAATATATGTATGTAGATGGATGTATGTAGATATATGTGCAATGTACATATGTATGGAGATGTGACCACTGAAGAATAAGAATACAAATTTTTGCGTTCTCGTTTGAGAAAGAAAATCCCCTAGAAGACCCCATTGAACACAAATCAACGGATTATAAATTATCTGCAATAAAATACACTTTTGCTGCTTTTATTTTTTTTAAATGTTCCGTTTAGTGAGGAACGCACCTTGTAGAATATAAAGTCATAGCGAATTAAGTTGGGATAAAATATTTCATATACATAATAAAAAAGAGATTTCACATTTTGGTTTTTTGTTTTTACTTTCGAGTGCACGTGGCCCTTGACTCGTCCTTTAACTTGCCCGGATCTATGGGCGGGCCATGCCACCTAGGAAGGGATCACTTTAAAGAGCTTCAAGTACTTCAAAGATCAAGTTTGAGCAGTCAGAGATTGTGCATAGGATGCAGGGGGCAGGGGACTGGGCCCATAGTTCGAGGGCAAATCAAAGGACGACAGTACGACGTGCAGAACTATAACCTAAAGGAAACGCTTAATACGGAAGAGCAGAGCCAGCAGCGGAGCTGGAAGCTGGCTGGTTGTCGGAGGGAGCCAGCGTCCAGCCAGCGCCAGCTACTGCTGTGTGTTGGAGACTATAAAGACGATAAACAGACAAAAAATGGACTAACATACATTAGATCGGATGAATCAGGCGATGGGTGTATACTTAACCTAAATGCAAATACAGAGTGCAATAATCCATGGTTAATATCGACATGTCATGTCTAAATACATAGTAGGAATACAGTTGTTATTCATGTTCGATTTTAGGAGTGTGATATGAAATGTGTTCGCGTTTGTTTTTGTCGATTTGATGAGCATTTTGGGAGCAATTGCATTGCAGATGTTTCGCCACACGTAGTAGATGTGCGGCTGTGTGTTTTCGTGTATATCTATGTTCTATATATTGATATTCATATGCATGTACATATACACATGATATAAATATGGTGAATGCAAAATTAATACAAAATACTTTAGCGCCCTTCGTTTTACAGTGAGATTATAGTCAAGCGCGACCGCAACTTAAAAATCTGCGTACAAAATATATATATATATATGTATATGTATGTTTTTTGTGTATAACTATCGATTGCACAATTTAGTGCTTTTCGCTTCTTGATTTTTATATATATATATATGTATATATATGTAGGTGTATGTATCAATTGATTGGATACGCTTCAATGCTGGGCTTGCATGCGTGCTTGCATCTGGGCCAGCATCTCCGTCATACGTGCAAGCTCAGCCTCCTTCTCCTGCAGTATGCGGTCCTTCTCTGAGAGCGCACTGTTTGCTACAGTCTGAGCGTTCACGTTGTTCTCACGTTCCTGCTTTATGCCGTTCTCCTTACCCTTGATGCCTTTGGCCAGGCGATCAGATCGATAGTTTTCGTAGTGCACCTCTTGCGTCACCTCCTGCAGGTCCTGCATGTGGGTTCTGGAACGGAAAACAAACATAAAAGTTAACGAGCGTGTGAAATAGAGCGTGGGACAGCGGGAACTACTCACATTAGCATTGTGCGCAGCTTTATGAAATCACAGTGATCGGGATTCTCCACCTCGACCACGCCCCAGGGATAGAGGCGGCCGCGAACCTTTTTACCCTTGACCTCAAGTAATGTATTGGCGCCGCAGACGGCAAAAGGCACAGCTTCCTTCAGTTGCTTCACTTGTTCCTTGTAGTCTTCGTCCTCGTCTGAATCACAGTCTGGCAGTGGATAAATTTTAATGCCATGGCTCTCGATTTCTTGCATAATGCGGCACTTAAGGCGCAAGATCTCTTTTTTGGTGAGGCAGTCAGCTTTGGCAATAACGGGCACAATGTTCACCTTGGAGTGGAGTTTCTTCATGAATTCCACATCCAATGGCTTCAGGCTATACAATCCAATCAAAACTCAGCGTTAAGAACCGTCGAAGGGACAACGAACGAACACATTGCAGTGAAAGTGAACTTACCCATGCCCAAAGGGCGAAATAAAGTAGAAGCAGCAGTGTATGCGATTGTCCACAATGTTGCGACGATTAAGACCGCTTTCGTCGCGCAGGAAGCGCTCGTACTGCTCATCGATATACTCGAGTATGGCACTGAAGCTGTTAGAATTGTCGATGGCGTCACCAAATCCGGGTGTGTCGACTACGGTAAGGCGCAGTTTGACCCCACGCTCCTCAATCTCCACTGTCGAGGCCTCCAACTTGACTGTTTGCTTTTGTTTTTCTGCAAGAAGATGCGAGTCATCAACGTCCAACACAAGGAAACACAAAAAGAGACAGGGAGGGGCGTGCGCCTACCTATGGCATCGGGTATGATGCGTTCCGGGTATAGGTCCGTGAGAAATAAACTGTTGACCAGTGTGGACTTGCCAAGTCCGGACTCGCCAACCACCATCAGGGTGAACTCGAAGCCCTTTTTCACGGACTTCCGATGCACTTGGTTGGGCAGATTTGCGAACCCCACATAGCCGGGCGTCTCAATGCTGGAAAACTGCAACATACCATAACAAAAAGAGATATGTAAGCCGTTATTATTATCGAGTATTGTTTTTATTTCGCATAGAAAGCGATGGCGTCGCGACTGCTTGAAATGCTTGTCACGCACAATAAAGAAACTAAAATTTCTCTTGCCACAAGCCACATATTTTTGTACATATATATGTATGTACATGGCTGACACCCAAAATATCAGAAAAATGCTATCGTTACTGACTGCCATTGCCATTGCTCTCTGAATGTGGGTCAGAGGCGGGACACTCGGAGAGATCTGCAATCGCAAACAAAGGAAGAATGCCGATAGCGACGCCACCACCGACGCCGGCATGTGTTGTGAATCACTTGACTGCACAATGAGCGGACGCAAGGCGAACGAACGAAGGAGGCATCGGCGAGCTCACGGCAAACAAAAATGCACTTAGCATTTGGACTACAGACATATGCTGCATCTGCATCGAACTGCTTTGAGTAAATTTCTTTTTTAAGCGATCACTAGACATGCTAATCAAAATTGTATATAAAATTATCGAGCTACTCACGCCCTTTGTATCAGCCATTTTAAAAAAAAACACGAAACGAACGAACACAATGCAATGAACAAAATAGAGCAGTGTGACCGCGAATTTATCGAATTTTTTATCGAATTTATCCGACCATCAGAAATATACCAAAATATACCGTCTCATTTTACAAATATACCGTAAATATACTGACGAATTCAAGTTCTATTATACATATTCAGTGAAATATTACTAGTAGATAGAACCCTCAGCCCTGCCCACATAATTTTATCCGATTAATGATTTTCTACTTGACTGGCTTATTTTGAATACTTGACTTTGATTGTTATTGCCTCAATTTTGGTTCCTCAACAACAATATAGCGTCTCGTATGATGAAAAACCGAATTAGCCCACTTAAGTCCCCTCTATTAAACAACGACTTGAGGTAAATGGCGGAAAATATTAACGACTGTAAATTATTTTTCCGAATTTCCGACACTATATTCAACCATGATGACGTTTATGTTATCAAATTCTAAACTCTTTTATAATTTTGGCTTCATCAAACCGAAACGCATGTATTAATTATGATTTCAAGTTAATTTTATTAAAAAAGTTTGGGTTAGTTTGCACGGAAATCTGATCAGGTCAGTATCTATTTTCCGGTAAAAAAAATACATCACTTTGGGTCCGCCAGTCGACGTTAAAAATTCTTAAAACATAAAAAAAAACTGATGTATCTGATAACTGCAGATTAATATTCTGGGGACCATTCAACTCGCTCCAGCAGCGATCAAATAACAATAAAAAGATACATTGCCCTGGCAGCAATATGGGTGCGGCATTAGTTTAGTCCAATCTAGACTGTAAGACAGTATGCAGGTTATCTGTCGCTCCGCTTTGTAGCTGTTATCAGTTCGACTAGTTAGCCCGGTAGACGTTGTTCTGCCATTTAAAATATCAATATTAATTTCGAAGAGCAATGGAGTGTACATTATTTGTTGTCAGTCCAACATACATACATAAATAAGCTCGGTGGTTTGCGCAAACGGAATCATGCGAAAAACCTTAAATTTCCAAATCTAAGTCCCAAACTGACATTGGGATGTATTTGATTGAAATTGCGAGTGCCAATCTAAAAGGAAATGGAACGCGTTTGGAAAGAATATTAGCTGCTAAATGTTTTGAAAAGACGGGGGGAAAGGCCTTCCCATGGCAGGGTAATTCAGAAGCTACTGCTCCGGATCTCAGGTATGGTGGGTACGTCGGAGGTAATTGAAACCTCAGCCTGGTTCGCGTCTGTGTTGGAGGAAGAATGTAAAGTTATTTGATTCCATTTGTTTTGAAGTGTTTTTTTTTTTTTTTGTTTACGTTATATTTTTTTTCAGATTGTTGGTATATGGTACGACCCGAGGGCTTGGGAAACACCCAGCCTCATTTAATAGGTCATCCAGCTCGACGACAATGCGCCTGGATTTTGGGGGATTCAAGTTATTGTAGCCGCAGCGTGTATCCACACGATTGGGGTGGGTCATTCTACACGGTTGATGAGCCGCCCATGAAGTATATTTACAAAAATGTATGTGCTTCGTTTGGCAATACCGTATTTTACAATTATCTACTGACGCCTGCAATGAGGCACTCAATAAAGCTTGCCGTCCTGGCAACTAGCAACTAGAGGTCGGAAGAAAACTGAATGGTGGACTCCGAGACTAGGGGAACTCCGAAAAACATCGCGGCGGCTCTTTAACAAGGTCAAAGCCAATGCTGAACAGATCTTTCTTGAGCTTAAGGTCAGTCTGTCAACATTCAATATTGAACATAGGAAAAACAAACTCAGAGCCTTGGCGTTTGAGCAAGGTTCTCTCAACGGCTAAGCGTTACCTGAAGAAAGCTGGTCAGTGCTGGGCTACGTCGAGCAGTGTCGTTAGATCTTCTTCTCAATACCCACATCGTAGGCTGCGACGTAACTTCAAACCTACCCACTTCTCGTTCGTAGACGACATCATCTGAAACTTTATTTTCTCCGCCCTAGTTCTGAAAAACAAACATTTTCTTCAAAGATCTCAGTCTAAAAAAGTTCCATATTAGGTAACATAAACTTTTGGGACAAATTAAAAGCCAAAATCCCAGAGACGAGCCACCCCTCAACTCACTTGGACCTGTGATGAGCTCGCAAAGGGGCGCGTTTGGAGATAGAGCAGATCCTCAGTAAGCTCTCATGACCTGTTTCCGAGAATCCAGGGCTCTTGAATGTGGACTACTCTTGGCTAGGTGGAGCAGGAGAGCAATGGGGAAGTTTATATGCAGGAGTGTCAAAAACATTCCTGAGGTTCACCTGCACCATTGTTTTGCCTGGATACCTCTTTTTTGTAGCCGTAGTTTACAACTCCTTGCGTTATTCCGAGGAGTTCTATTGACTCTTCGTTTAAGACGAGGATGAGGCACCAGGCCCTGTCCATTTATCTCGTCCGTCTTAGCCACGTCCAATCGGCTGTAGGAAGGTGTGGGGGACCTCCAGTTTGGCTCCTGGGCAGACATCTTTTAGTTTCGCCACCGCTTACGTGCAGAGCGCCGCCGAGCGAGGATCTTGGCAGGCAATGGCTTTTACTCTACCCTGTTGCCACGAGGCGTCATCACAATTGGGCGGTTATCCTCCGCTCTCCTCTAGCTTCTGGAGGAAGCGATACAGCAGCTAGTTTTCCACCTGGTGCCATTTTTATTGAGGAATCTGTCTGACACTAGAGCCCCTGTCTAGGACACCAATAAGGGTCTTGACCCTCGCTACCTCGTCAAGCGAGCAGTGGCTGAACTGCGTTTTCGTGACCTGCTAAACTTCTTGACGCTTGCTTGGGGCCTTAGCCGCGCCCTTACCAGCTTTGGCTGTCTGGTAGTTTATCAGGATTGTCTTGGTACATTGCCTCAGCTGGATCACTTGTGTAAATGATATGCTGGATCGTTTTTATCTTCCCTTTTATTGAGTCGTCCCTGAACGCTTGCCAGCGCGATGTCGCTTGGCTTGGTAACCCCCAAGCTTGGGCCCCCCGACGTGGATTGTCCCGATTGGCCCTCGGACTTATCCTCGCAGCGCGTGCTGCCTGGAGACGGTCGCCCGAATTAGTCTCCTTCCCCGTCTTTTATTTCCCTGGCTTCCCAGATGCAGAGATAGAGGGATAATCATTTTCCTCCGGCACTTTATGAGGAGTACCGAACTCCTTTGAGATATGTTTAGATGTATTCGAATTTGGCATAATTGGATCCACGAGAAGGGGAAACTTCCCTCTTGCCCCGCGAAGCCTAGTTTAAGCTGGAGGATGGCATGTATCCGGATTACGCATATTAGCGACTGAGCACCCCCTCGACCTTGCATGCCTAGGCAACACTGAGAGTTTTCTTCTCTCCGCCCCACTACCACTAGCCACAATCTGGACCTGTTACCAGCCGCCTTCACGGGGAGAGTATAGTCGCACTTTCACCGTTGTATACAGCTACGACGGGTGACGGTAAGTTCGCGATCTCCCTGTATCCTAGGGTATGGAGCAAAGCCGCCTCGGGTCAGGAGACCACAGGTATCCCAGAACGAGTTATGGCAAGCCGACCCGTCATTCGTTGATCTCCCTGAAACACCCGATGGCTGACGACCAACCATTGAAAAAGTTGATTCACCATGAATTTGTTCCAGCCAATGCTTGGCCGTTTTGAGACGTTTTGCAGCCAGATTGTGACTGAGTTTTGGCCAAAAACTAAACTTCGCTAAGGTAATAAGGGCCTCCCATCGCCGTACGAGTCCTTTAGAAGTCTATTTTAGAGCCGATTTTAAAGAGTTGAGTTGTTTAGTTCAACTCCAACATACATACGCACATCAAAATGTTGGTTTTTTAACCAGTTCGTTTGAAGTTTGATCAGATGGTATACGTCTATACCCATCTATACATATATATATTTCTTTCCTTTGGGTTTTGGTTTTTGTTGTATGCATGGTACGTAATACGTTTACAAAACATAGACTAGAGTACGGTATAAATGAGCGGAGGCGAATGGAAATCAAGACATACATAAGTACACATCGAGAGAACATCAAAAGGAATCATTAATCGTTATCTTTAACCAGTGCTCAGGCATCCGTTCATCCGTTCATGCATCCATGCATTTCATACGCATTTGTGCGGTCCTTAATCAATGGAGTCTCAGATTAGGTGATCAGGCGCGGAGCATGCAGCCCGTGTACGTTTTCAATGGGGGGGCAGTGTGTAGCTCCTGGCGGTCCCCAGTCGTGGAGGCCCCGAGAGTTGGCCAGCCGGTGTGTGAGCCGATGGGCGATGCTGAAGCCGCCGCTTCCCTCCAGCTGGGTAAGCACAATAATCACTTGCCTGGTACGGGTACGTAATGTTGAGAAATTAGTGGGGAATCTGATCGACGCTGAACGTCTAACCTACCTTTGAAGCGGTGGCACGGAGTCCACAGTTTTGAGCTCGCCTCGGGTGGACACCACATTGTAGCTCTCCTGGCAGTCGCACTTGACATGAATCCACTTATTCTCGTGTCGGTTCTCTACCATCACAACCAGACCCGCCCAGCCCTGCGGAGGACCACAAATACAAAACCATATGAGCCTTTCATTGTTAATTTGGAGTGCGAAATGGAATGGTAAAGGAAGACTTGCCTTGGTGAGGTAGTAGGCGGTCATACCCTCTCGTCCCTCGTGCCTCTGACCCTTGGTTAAGGTCAGACTGATGATGGCATCGGCTAGGAGGTGCGGCGAAGGGATGATCTGCTCCACAAGCAGGCGCTTTGAGCTGTGGATGGCTAGGATGCACTGCGGATACTGGTGCGGATCCTCAATACCAGTGTGCCAGTGGTTGAAGGCCAGGCAAACCAGCAGATATATGTCCCGCTCTAGCATCTTGTGGCAGCCCACAAAGCCGCGCACCTGCAAAGAGATTCCCAAATCAATCCGGGGCAGAGGTGGTTGACTTGTCTGGGTCACGAACACTCACCTGACGCTTGCTGTGCTCCACGAGACGGCCGATCTCGGGGGCCGCCGGCGAGCGGGTGCGGAATATCACAACACAGAGATCCAACTGGGAGCGCTGCGACTTCTCGGAGTTTCGCTGGCCCTCCTGGAAGAGCGTGAACTCCGCCTCGGTGGGTTCCAGCACGGTGAGCAGGACACAGGAGATGGAGCACAATGGCTGGAGGGTGCCTTGCAGACGCACCTCGTTCCACCCGGACCGTACCTTACAGATGTCGATGCAGTCAAAGTAGTTGAGCACGTCCTCGAAGGAGATCCAGAAGACACCCTCGGAGGCGCCGTGCGGCATCAGGGCATCCCTGAGGTCGTCAGTCCACAGCGAAGAGTCATCCGACCAATCGCCGCGCCACGAATAGTGGCCCCACGGGTTGCGCAGCTTTAGCAGCCTGTGCCCCTGGATATCCTTCACGTCCAGCACAGAGTAGGCGTGCCGGGGCCGCAGGCCCTTATGCTGGTACTCCTCCTCGTCGACCTTCATGTTGCCACCGCCGCAGCTTGCACCCATGAGGAAGCGCACACAGCGCGAGCTAAGCAGCTGCGCCCAGATCAGATCCTTGTCTAGCTCGTCTTCGCTGGGCATGGGCAGGGAGCTCGCCTGCAGCGGTATACTCTCACAGGGGGCGCCCGTCAGAGTGGCCAGGCCTTCGATGGCGCGGCCTGAGACGAGCGCCTCGTAGCAGCCATGGATCTTGGCCACTGCCTTCTCAATCAGCGGCACCCAGAGCTGCTTCCGCTTAGCCTGCGAATAAACCAGATGGCCGCGCTTATCGCAGGGCAGCAGATCGTCTACGAGCACTGTCGTCCACTTGCCGTCTTTGCAGAGCCGCACCTGGTAGGCTCCCTGGGGGCAAATCTCCTTGGTGACCAACACCTCCTTGACGAGGTCCTCGCGCTCAGCTAGCACGGCCAGGGCGCTTAGCAGCCAGCAATTGCCCAGCACACCCTGGCAGATGTCCGATGGCAGGGGAGTGCGGAAAACGGCCCACGGCGGATATGCGCCGCCGTCGCAGTTAATCTCGTGCGGACGGCGCCACTGCACCACCGGATTGCCCTCGGTTGCACTGCTTGCCGGGTTGTAGTAGAGGCTTTTCGGCGCCGGCGGAAAGGAGTCGTCGACGAAGAGCTCGTTGTTGTCGCGGCAGTACTGGATGATATTCTGCCACTTGGTCAGTGCCTCGGTCTCCTCCAGCTGGCGCAGGTTCTCCATCAGCTTGCTCTCTTGCCGGATGTCTGTTAGGGCCACCCGTATGGACTTCCTGGCCAGGGCATCCCCGATAACAGCGTTTACTAGCCCCCGCGGACTCGAGCATATGTCGCAAACTACGGAGGCGGCGCAGTTCTCGTAGGTGCATGCCGGACATTGCCACTTCTTGGAGCCAGACCCTGCTGATGATCCCTGCTGTATGTTGTAGGCTGAAGTGCCAGCCGCCAGTCCGGCTATGGAAATGTTGCGAGGGACGATGGAGCCCCCGGTGCTGTGCCTTTTGGGAATGGCCCCCGAGGAGCTCCTTACTGACTGCACCTGTTGCGGTTGCTGCTGTTGCTGCTGCTGCTGTACAATGGGCGTCATCCCTATCGCCCTGGGCGAGGGACTGCGTGACCCACGATGCACGACCGCTGCTGGCAACTGCAGCATGGGCATGGGCACAGTCATAGGCAAGGACAAGGGCATGGGCATAGGCATGGCGATCCCCGTTGGAATCTTGGCCTCGTTGGCGGTGCCTGGCGGGAGGTGGCCAGCGGCGGCAGCGTCTTGGTCCTCGTACGACTGCCCATCGGGACGCTCGCGCACCGTTTCGACGGGGAGCAGCCGAATGGACTTGCAGGCACTGCACAGACCATAGTGCAGCGAGTTCTTGAGAGTGCAGTGGCTGCACGTCCAGAACTCGCCCTTGCGCAGCGTCATGTCCTCGATGGAGGAGATGCTCTTCAGCTTGGATCCGCCGCACACAATGCAGGCCATGGCCGAGGAGTAGTTGACCAGGGTGCACTTCTTGCACGTCCACGGTTCGTCTCGGTTCGTTGGCGTCTCTGAAATTCAATTCGAGCAAAGCATAAGCCTGCATAAGCGCATGTTCATGTGGATTCCCTTGACAGATGTACCGACCTGCCTGCTGCTGCGGCTGCTGTTGGGCCTGCTGCTCCGGCTTGGCCTCGCACATCTCGCAGGTCTGCAGCCAGAGACGATTGTAGGCATAGGAACATTTGATGCATGTCCACATCTTGCTGCGGCTGCTGTGCCCCACCAGCGGTTTATTTTCGCTGCGTTGGGCCACAGGTGCTGCTATCGCTGATCCTGCTGCTGCCCCCGATGGCGCCCCTGTTGCTATCGCTGAGGCTGTGGCAACAATAAGACGACTACTGCCTGGATCATGAGTGCTGTAAACACAGAGCAAGCGATCAAATATTAACTCCAACACAAGTAACTCCAATTGATCCGTCCGTATATAATAATAATAATAATAATAGTAATAATTACAATAATTGAAATAAAATTGGGTTCGCAAATGAAGCGGCTAATTAATTCGGCTAATTAACAACAAACTGAAACTGAATATGCAACTGAAATGGAAACGAAAACGCAACTGAAACCGCAGCAAGCAAAAAAGCGACAAACCAAACGAAAAGATAATACCATCTACAGTGAGAGCCCTCGTAAGCGGACACCCCAAGATTGGTTGCAAATATACATTTTTCCGTTCCAGGGGGAACTCCGCCGGTAGAGCTTTCACTGTGTGGAACACACACACACAGACACATGGCCCGGGTGTGACTAAGCGTCCAAGCAAAACAAAACATAATCAGCAGAACCTAAATAATTGATAAGGGAACAGGAACAGTGTGTTCTGCACTGTTCTGCACGGTTCTGCTTTGGAGCGGCAGGTGAGAGATTGTTGGGTATTGAGTGTTTGGTGTTGGTGTTGCTCTAGCGGCTTGGAAATTTACATTTTGGATTCAGTGGCCTTGCGTGGTCCCTTCCAAACCTTGGCATAGATGGAATGCTCTTCGACGTGCAGCTCTGGCTGTGTACTGCTCGACTCTGACTCGCTTGCCTCCCCGCTGCCATCGGTGCTGGCTCCCAGGCCGAATCCTGTCATAGCTTCGCTACTACTGTTGTCCGTTGTCAAAGCTGACGCCTCAACGTTGACGCTTTCATTGTTGTTGGCCTGTACTTCCTGCTGCTGCTGTTGCTGTTGCTGATGGTGTTTCTTCTTGAGCTTGTGCTGCTTGTTCACCTGAGCATATATGGGCATTGACGGCTCCCCTGCAGCCACAGGGGAGGAAGCCACAGGCATAAGCAGAGGCAGGGGCACAGCCACGGCGGTTGCTGCTGCCTGGGCTGCCTGGGCAGCGGTCGCCCTCAGCTGCTGTTGGACCAAGGCCACGCAATCGTTCTCATACAGCTGCTGCTGCTGCTGGTGCATCTTTCCACAATTGTTGTTGTTCTTGTTGCTGTTGCTGTTGTTGTTATTGTTGTTGTTGTTGTTGTGGTACTGCTGCTGGGGCTGATGATTGTGGGCCATATCACAGGGCAGGGCTTGGCTGCGCTTTCCACTGGCAGCAGTACTGGCCGTCGGCTCTGACCACTCATTGACGGCTATGAAGACTCCGTTCCTCGGTATGGTGAACTGTGATGGATTCATACTCACTGCTGGCTCCCGCTGGGCATTCGCTTGCTGCTGCTTCGGCTGCTGTTGCTGTCGTAGCGGCTTCGATATAGACTTGGCCTCCTCCTTGGCCGAGGATCGCGAGAGCGTCGTGATGGTGAAGTTGTATTTCTTTTTGGCGCAACTCTCGCGCACCACTTTATTTTGGTTCTTGTTGTTATTGTTCTGCTTACGACGACAGAAGGTATCGTTGGCAATGGCGAAGCGCGAATTGCTGCAGGTGGCCACAGGAGGAATACCTGGCAAAGGGATGGGAGATGCCATGAGATTAGGATTTTGACTAGAGGGGCCTTCAAGGTGCGCTGCGATGGGTAGAACTCACCTGTTAGCAGTGGCTTGGACTGGGGAAGATTGAAGATGTCCTTGCTCTGGTTGTTCACATAGCATATGTGGCAGCTGCGGCCCGAGGAGCTCTTGTCGATGGCCGTGCTCAGGCTCTGGGTACGCCGAAAAAGGGAGAATCTGCCACTTCGACCGCTGCCCTTAAGCTGTCGTTTTTGGGAATGTTGTTGCTGTTGGTGCTCCTCCTGCTGGTGCTGGTACTGATGCTGATGCAGCTGGTGATGGCTATAATGATTATTCTGGTCCGATCTGTCCGTTAGCAGCTCCCCCTTGCTGCCGCTGCCTAGATTGTCAGCTAGCTCTTGGCCCCGAGGACCGTCGCCGGCAATCGCGTCCTTGTAAATGGGCGCCAGATAGCTGACCGTGTCGCAGATCAAACAGTGCCAGGTTACTGAGTTGTTGTCCGTCTCACAGGCGTGGCAGATCCAGCGTCGGTTCAGCGCCGGGTTCGAGAAGTGCCGATATAGCTCAATGGAGCTCTTGATGTACTTTCGCGTGTCCTCGCAGTCGACGCAGTTGGCGGGCAGGTTCTGGCTGTTCCGCTGCGGTCGCTTCAGGCAGCCGCGCAGCAGCGACTTGTAGACATTCTTGTTGTATTCGTTTCTGGAAACACAAGGAGGGGAAAGGAAAAGGTGTGGGTTAGGGGCCCGGAGTCAAAGGTTATTTCATTGACCGCATGGAAATCCAACTTTCGACCACCCCTTTCACTGGTGTTCTGTTCCCTTCTCTGCTCGCCTTCCCAATCACTAAACGCTTTTTTTCAGCGAAATTTTGTTGTTTGTTTTGCGCTACGGCTGAAAACAGAGGCGCAGACGCCTCGGCGGCCGATTGTGGGCGATGGAAAAGGAGGGTGGCGATGGAACGAAGAGTAATATTCAATTAAAAACCAAATCAATAAAATTGTAAACAATGTTTCTTGATCCAAATCGATTTTCCCCAATTTCTTCTCTGTTCCTCCTTTTTTTGTTGCTGTTGCTGCTGCTGCTGCTCCTCCTTCTCTATGTATACAGGCACACACACACACACACACACACACACATGCAAACAAACTCACGCGACACGCACAAATACACACATGGACGGGCTGTTTGTTTTTGTGTGATGATTTTTTGACCTCCACTGCTTTTTGCCTACTGCGTGCTGGCTGCTTTCTTTCTTACCTGGTTACCGTTTTGATCCTATCAAGCGAGTCTCCATCAGCTGGCAGTGCTTCTGCCGGATGTGGGGGCTCTCGCTGTCGATGTATCCAAGTGCTGGGCTGTCGCGGTGCAGTTTTTACTGTAGCCGTCTGGTGAGACGACAATGTTGCGGTAGGACTGGGAAACACTTTGCGCACCGTCCCACAATTGTAGCATTTCAGAGATTCAGTCGGATTGATCGTATTGCACTTGGTGCACGACCACTGCAGCACCGATGAGATAGTGCCCATTGCTGAATGGCTGGGTACAGGGACAGGCAGGAGCAGGGGGGCCTAGCTGCTGTCGAACTGATTAGAGTTGGGGCTGCCACTAGCTTAAACTGGAGCTTTCGCTCTGCCTATGGCTGCTGTGTCTGAAGCTGCAGCTATCAGCGCCGTTGTTGTTTGTGTTGCTGTTGTGCAGGGTGGTGGCAGGCAGAGCTTCACAGCGAGCACCAGTATAACCAGGCAATGGCAATTGCTTTCAACAGTTTCACGCCGCGCGCTCCTTTCACACTTTTAACTGTTGCAGCACAACACATATTTAGCAGATTGTGTGGGCAACGGGACCTTGTTGTAGATACAAACTTCGGACAGCAACAATAAGAACGGCCCACCTGATTAACTTATCGATAACACTGAGAACAATTTGTACAGGGTGGCCACGCCATTGCATCAATTGAATTAGGGCTGTCAAATCTACTTAATTTGTATGTGTACTAAATGATATGAATCAATTAAATTTTTCCTCTTAATTAAATCTCTGTGATAGGCAAACTTTTATAGCCAGGAGTTTGCTATTTATATCAAAATTATCCTATGTACAAAAACTGGACTTTCGGCAAAACGCAATAACGCAACCCTAATGCAACAGCTGATGCTGAGACTTTATGCATTTTCGAGCACTACTACGTCAGGTTATCGATACTAAGTACAATATAAATCAAGGTAACCATTTCTGGTGGTTGTATATATATTTGGTATATTTTAAAATCCGAAAATGAGATTAGATTAAGCCCGAAAAAAATTAAAGCGAACCAAATGCCACAACAGTTTTCGTAACGAAAAACCGTTTTTTGTCCGGTAGTTCTTGGAGAATTAAGGAAAGGGAACCTCCAAATACGGACTGAACTTTACTACCACATTCCAAAATATCGAATCAAGGCGGCCTCCTATCTATTGGGACCCTTTTGTGTCCAGCTATAAAAAAAAGTCAACTATTTTATAGGCTCTGCACACTGAGCCCATCCCGGGGGAATGGTGGGATTTTTTGACAGATGTGAAACTTCGATTCACACTGCCACCATCCGTCAAAAACAGCTGATGCCAATAACAAGTTCATTAAATTTGCGCGGAAGATTTATTAATTCTTGGTTATTATAATGGATGATGAAGATATAGCAATTATTTCGGCTGTGGTTGCACAGCAAAATATTTTCTTGCACCAACTAATAATGTTGAATAATGATGATGACGATGATGACTTTAACTTTGACGAAGATGAGATGCTTGACTGGGTAACTGCCATAAAAATACAAAAGCCAGGAAGATTATGGTCGTTTGTGAGTACTTCTACTAACTTCAACCATAGTTTAACGTACAAGGACATATTTTATGGTTTTAGAAGCGGTTCGGGACATTTTGGGAGAAAGAGGTACCAGAAAACAACGAGGCGTTTTTCAAAGAGAGTTTCCGAATGGAGAGGCCCTGCTTTGATATTTTAGTGAATCGGCTTGAAGTGCTGCGAAAGAAGGACACCAACTGCCGAGCTGCAATTCCTTTGGAAAAGCGCATCGCCATTGCGCTATACACTTTGGGCTCGTCCTCTGAGTACCGAACAGTTGGCAGGCTTTTCGGTGTAGCTCCAAACAGTGTGTGTAATATCCTGCACGAGTTTTGCAGAGCACTTATCGACGAGTTTTCGAAGGAGTACATGTCGCCCAATTACCTAACTTCCGACAAAATTGATGAGTGCGTAAAGGGATTCGAGGCAATTGGGTTTCCTCAGTGCCTAGGTGCAATTGGTAAGAAATCAATAAGAACTTCAGCAATATGTTTACATATAAATTGGTTTTTAAACTTCCTTTTTATTCTAGATGGATGCCACATCGAAATAAAACCACCAGCAGCTGAGGCAGTAGACCACCATAACTATAAGGGCTGGTATTCCACAGTCTTGTTTGCCCTAGTGGATTATAGGTATGCAAATATCTTGCACAAAAATATGTATTTAGCAAGTTGGTTTAATGTCCTAAATTATTTAAATCCGATTCTTTTTAGATACAGATTTACATATGTAAATATCGGCTCTGCAGGAAGGTGCAATGACTCGATGATATACCAGAAGTCAAGCCTTGCAAAACATATCGAAGCATCGGCATTACTCCAAGAGAAAGCCAAGGAAATAAGCGGAGTAAACGTCCCTGTAATGCTTATCGGGGACTCGGCATTTAGATTTTCTAAAAAGCTGATGAAACCTTACCCGTTTTCCACAATCGCCTCTTTGGAACAGCGCACGTTTAACTACAACCTTTCCAAAGCTAGGCGAGTGGTGGAAAATGCATTTGGGCATTTAAAAGCCAGATTTCGAATAATCGGAAAAGGTCTTGGTAGCCACCACAAAAATAATAGCGCCATAATAATGAGCTGTTGTATTTTACACAATATATTAAATATGCACAACAGCGCGATTAATGAAAATTGGGAGCTTGCAACAAATGAACAGCGCGAACAGCCCGATACCAGCAACAGTTCTGCTGACTTTAATCAGTCAGCAGAACAGATACGATCTGCAATCGCAAAATATTGTGTAGACCGTAATGAAAATTAAAAACTTATTTATTTTTACTTTTTAAAACTTCTAATAAGTCGTTCTGGAATTTTGTTTGGGTGCTAATGAAGTCCTGCACCATCTTCTCCTGCCTAACGTCGTGCTCCTCCTTCTTTCTGTGGTGGCCCTTTTGTTGCTCGAGACGCTCCTGGGCGATCTCTGCCAGCCACGAAATGTCGGTCTTTTTCTTTTTCTTTGGCGGACGCCCAGACAAGGTGCTGTCTGTCTGTCTGTCTGTCCGTCTGTCCGTCCGTCCGTCTGTCCGTCCCCCTCAGCGCCTAGTGCTCGAAGACTATAAAAGCTAGAGCAACGATGTTTTGTATCCAGACTTCTGTGATATGTCACTGCTACAAAAATATTTCAAAACTTCGGCCCGCCCACTTCCGCCCCCACGAACGACGAAAATCTGTGGCATCCACATTTTTAAAGATACGATAAAAGCAAAAACGCAGAATCGTAGAGGTTGACTATATGTTCTAGAATGTAAGATCTCAACCAGATCGTATAATTATTATAGCCAGAATCAAGAAAACAATTTCATTCTTTCTCGCTCTGTCTCTCTCTAACACACAGGTTTCATGGTCGGTTTTGCCAATTGCAAAATATGAGTTCAAGGATCTCAGAACCTATAAGAGCCAGAGCAACCAAATTTGGTATCCACACTCCTGTGATATCGGACCTTGACCGTTTCGTGTCCAAATTTCGCCATACCCCCTTCCGCCCCCGCAAAGGACGAAAATCTGGGGCATCCACAAATCTCAGAGACTATTAAGTCTAGAGTAACCAAATTTAGTATCCACACTTCTGTTAGATCTCACTATAAAAGGTTTATCTCAGAATTTCGCCCCACCCGCTTCCGCCCCCACAAAGGACGAAAATCTGTTGCATCCACAATATTGCACATTCGAGAAAACTAAAAACGCAGAATCATAGATAACCACCATATCTATCAGATTGCTGTATCTGGATCAGATCAGATCATTTTTATAGCCAAAGGGAACAAATCAATTTGCACTGGCTATGCAGCGTTCGACGTCACGCTCAGACTGATTTTCTGTCTCTCTCGCACGCACTCTTTGTCGTGTCGTTTAATATAAGCGGCGTCTGCCGGAGGAGAGCCATCCTGACTATGTATCGGGTATAAATGTAGAGCTGCGGTCTCCGCAGCAACTCACAACGTTCCTTCTCGTTTTTGTTTGATGTGAGGGAATAGCAATTGGGTTCCAAGTCAGGACTGAAGGGCTATATATGTATATAATTCTATATTTTATCCATTTTGTGGCATAAAATATACACCTGAATTTATTTAAAGACAGAGAGACCAGGTATAAAACATTTATGGGAAAAGCATTCAGTGAGATTGTTATATATGGATATGTCATGTGCTCTAGAGAATTCGTTGGCGAAATGTGTTTTACACTATACTGGTATTGAAGGGTAGCGGAATACGACCAATTGTGGTATATTTAGGTAATAATGGCTTAAAATATGATAACAACAACAAATGTTGGCAGTTTTTAATGAGCCATTTGAAAGATTTTTTTCGATGCAAAATTTAGTCAAACCTAACAATAGAAATGTGATTTTCCAATATAACTCAGAAGAAAATAAAGTTTTCTGATTTATTTTATAACATGTAGACTGAGTTGTGAAAAGTATTAGAAACTGTTTTGCTACTTTTGTATTAAAAATATATATTTTTTTGAGTGAGATTAGATTTAATGGTATTATATATTTGGAGATTGAAATGGTATATTTTCGGAATATACCTGAGTATTTATTATCGATAGTCCGCACTCACACTAATATATATACAAATTCATCGCAACTTGATTCCCGCGTGCAACCAGAACGTGTGTTTTGATTATAGGCGAACATTAAAGAGAATATATAATTTCTAAGGAATGCAACGACACAAACCCAAGAGGTCCGGAAAACCAAGGCCGCACCCCAAGCCGAACAATGGGCAACCAAGCCCCAGTAACAAGCAGAAGCGTCCCAGGCCAGAGTACAACAAGTCAAAACTGGCGGCCAACGATTTAGAAATCCGTGAGCTCCAGGAGAGATACAAAGAGATCGATGCACAGGCCATCAAGAAGTTCGCGCAGTTTCCACTCTCCAAAAAGACTCAAAAGGCCTTGGCCGAGGCCAAATTCGTAAATCCAACGCAAGTGCAACTAGAAAGCCTCGGACCAGCATTGCTGGGTAAGGATGTGCTAGGCGCCGCTGTCACCGGCAGTGGAAAGACCTTGGCATTCCTCATACCCGTAAGTGGCTGGAGATCTCAGACATACGGGAAATTTGACTTAGTTTTTCTATATCATTACCTCTATTTAGGTCTTGGAGCACCTGTTTATCCACAAATGGTCACGTACGGATGGAGTGGGCGCTATAATCATCTCGCCCACACGCGAGTTGGCCTACCAGATCTTCGAGACCCTTAAAAAGGTGGGCAAGCATCACGACTTTTCTGCCGGTCTGATAATAGGGGGCAAGAATCTGAAGTTTGAGAGAACACGAATGGACCAGTGCAACATACTGATCTGCACGCCCGGCCGTCTGCTTCAGCACATGGACGAGAATCCGTTGTTCAACACCAGCTCCATGGAGGTTCTGGTCCTTGACGAGGCGGATCGCTGCCTGGACATGGGCTTCCAAAAGACCCTTAATTCCATAATCGAGAACTTTCCTCCAGAACGGCAGACGCTGCTCTTCTCGGCAACGCAGACAAATACAGTTCAGGATTTGGCGAGACTCAATCTAAAAGATCCCGTCTATGTGGGATATGGTAGCCAGTCAGCAGCTTCCACCTCTTTGTCCGCATCGGCATCCACATCCATAAAGGAGGGTATTCAGACGACTGCCGTTCTGGCAGTTCCGGAGCTGCTGCAGCAGAGCTATGTGGTGCTCAATCTGGAGGACAAAATCACCATGCTTTGGTCGTTCATCAAAAACCACTTGAAGCAGAAGATAATCGTGTTCGTGTCCAGCTGCAAGCAGGCCAAGTATCTCTATGAGATCTTCTGCAAACTGAGGCCGGGCTGCCCGCTGCTCGCCCTCTATGGCACCCTGCACCAGGATCGCCGCATCGCCATCTACGAAGACTTCTTGCGCAAGAGCCACGTGGTCATGTTCTCCACAGACGTGGCCTCGCGCGGCCTCGACTTCCCCGCCGTCAACTGGGTTGTCCAGCTGGACTGTCCCGAAGATGTCTCCCAGTACATCCATCGAGCGGGTCGCTCCGCCCGCAACAAAACCCGTGGCGAGTGCCTTCTGGTCCTGACTCCCAGCGAAGAAGATTACATGATCAGAGCGCTGAAGGAGCAGCTCAACCTCAACATTCACTGCGTCCAGATCGATCCAAAAAAGCTTTTTTCGCCGCGCGTCAAGATCGAGGCATTCTTGGCCCAGTTTCCCGAACTGCGGGCCACCGCTCAGCGTGCCTTCCTCTCATACCTTAAGTCCGTCTTCCTCATGCGTAACAAGCGTCTGTTCAATGTGTTCAGTCTGGACCTGGACGCCTACGCACAGTCGCTGGGCCTGGCGGTCACGCCGCGTGTCCCCTTCCTGGAGAAGTTCCTTTGGCGACAGAAACAGCTCCAGCAGCAGCAGAGTTCTGCAGAGGGCCCTGCGGGCGCCAGTCAGAGCCCCAGTACCGCATTGCCTAAGATAACCAGACAGCAAACCTTTGGTGGGGAAGATAGCAGTAATGAAGATGATGATGACACCGACGATGATGACCTTATCAAGGTCAAGCGAAGGGATCACGATGTCGAGGGAGGACCCTTGGAGTTACAGTTAGACCACACCAAAGACGAGGGCAAGCCGGAGGAGCCGCTGGTGGTGCCCAAGCGCGAAAAGCTCGTTACTAAGGCGTCGCTGGCTAAAAAGGCGCTCAAGAAGAATTTGCAGGTTAACTCCAAGCTCAAGTTTGACGAAGAGGGCGAAACTGTGGCCGATGATCGCAGTCAGATGAAGGCGCTCAGTTCCAGACAGCAACGCCAGCAAAAGGATAAGAACAAGGACGACGATGGTGGAATAAACTTGGTGCTATCCAAAACCCTGCTCTCAGAGGAGGATCAGTACGATAAACTTCGCTTCCGTGAGCTGGTCAAGAAGCGTCACAAGCTACAGCGCGAGAAGTTGCGCAAGAAGGCGGAGGCTGCCCAAGAAACGAGCGAAGACGAAGCCGAAGACGAAGAGGGCGTCAACGATCAGGAGGATGCCGACGCCAATAGTGACAGTGACAATTCTGTGGACCTTTCCTGGCTTCCCGATCCCGACAAAGTCTACAAAAAGGAGTCCAATCAGTACAACCAAAATGGAGATCCTCAATCGCAGCCTAAGCCAGAGCCCAGTTCCAGCTGCGATGATAATGAAGATGATGGTGAAGACTCGGATGACGAGCCCGCCTTCAAAAAGTCCAAGTTAACGAATAAGATGACGCTGATGGACACGGAGGCCATTGTAGCCAATCTTTTGGGTAGTTAAATGAAAAGTGGGTCTCGACTGTTTCAGTAAATTAACACAAATTATTGTTATTTCAGCCTATATTACGTAGGCTGCTATTTAAGTATCTGGCCTAGCTACGCGGGTTGCTATTTATATTGGCAATTGCTATTGCTATTGGCAATACTAATGTCAATACATAAAATCTGACAACACCATAATAAACTTTGTCATTTTTTTAGCATATACTTACTGTTACTTCAAGTGTGCCACAGGGAAGTCATCTGGGCCCGCTTCTGTTTATTTTATTTGTGAATGACCTTCCTCAAGTTATAACATACTCTACTACACTAATGTATGCTGATGATGTTAAAATCTGTCTTTCTTACTCTGATTGGTATTTGCACACACGCCTTCAACTTGATCTAAGTGAACTACTATTGTGGTGTCCAACTAATCTTCTTTTTCTGAACCTTTCCAAATGCAAACTTATGACATTTTACCGTCGTGCTCCTCATTTTGTCTCATATGTTCTAGGATGCAATGGCGTA